GGTTCTTATGGTCTCTTCGCTTGCAGATTTATTATATTTTTTCTTCTACCCTGAAGATGGAGGCGATACGTTCCTCCGAAACGTCGGTTAACACCACATATACACGGTGCCAAATCCCAGAAGACTGCTTTCTTCATAGTCACCGCTGTGAAAGCCTCAAATCTTACACAATACAAGAAGTGCTGGGAAGCACAAATCACCTACTTTCCTGTCACTACATTTGGTATGGCAAGGTTCACAGAAAGCACAGTGTCATACAGTTCTATTGTTTGTGTGCATTCATTGTCCTGAGAATGTGTTTACCAAGCCACTGCCTAGCAACGAATGGGGCGGTAAGGATACACAGCCAGCAAGGTAAAATCATAAGCGACATTGTAGTTTTTCAAAATAAGGAAAATGGGCTAAAAATGATACACCAGTATAAAATTCAGAATTCATTAATACTTATACAAAACAGTCGGTAGAGTATATCATTGCCAGAAAATCACACATGATTGCATTCTGCCAACACACATTCCACTTCACAGCAGATATTGGTTATCACTATTGTTGAAAATATACTATAAAATTCAGGTTGTAGGACTGTGTAATATGCAGAGTTATTAAATTTACTTTAATAGCTGCTGGTACCCCCGACCAATGGTATCTCCACATGGTAGTAGGTAGTACAATGTTTAATCACAAGGATATACATAAACGAACCTGGAAATCCCTTGATGGAAATGTGTTTAACCAAATTGATCACATCCTAATAGATGTAAGACATTGTTCAGACTTGATCGATGTCAGGAGATACAGGGGGGTCAACATTGACTCTGATCATTACTTAATAATATCAAAGATTAGAAGTCGAATATCTAATGCGAGGAAGATACATGGATCCCAGGCTAAGAAATTGAATTGTGGAAAATTGGTGGAACAAGGAGTTGCAACCAGATATACTTGATTAATTACTGATTGCCTGGCAGGTCTCTCTAATAGTGAGGATGTCAGAGATGTTACTATATATGCTGCTGGTGCAGTTTTAGGAAGAATGGAAAGGATAAAGTATAAGAATTGGTTTGATGGAGTGTGAGAGCAAGTGAGAAATAAAAAAAACCAGGCATATAAGAGAATGCAGCAAAGGAACCATACTCGCGGGGCCCTGGAAGAATACCGTGAAGTGAGAAGAAAAGAAAAAAAGATTGCATAAAAAGAAGAAAAGGGAATATGATAAACAAGAACTGATTGAACTGGAGCATTTAAGAAGTTCAGACGAAATTAGAGCGTTTTATCAAAAACTAAACAAGAGTCGAAAGGACTTTCAACCTAGAACAACCTTATGTAGAGAGGAAGAAGGCATGATGTTGAGTAGTGA